CCCAGGGGACAGTGCTGAGGGGAGAAGGCCCCGGGGACAGTGCTGAGGGGAGATGGCCCAGGGGACAGTGCTGAGGGGAGAAGGCCCCGGAGGACGGTGCTGAGGGGAGAAGGCCCAGGGGGCCGGTGCTGAGGGGAGAAGGCCCCGGGGACAGTGCTGAGGGGGAGATGGCCCAGGGGGCAGTGCTGAGGGGAGAAGGCCTTGGGAACAGTGCTGAGGAGGAGAATGCCCCAGGGACAGTACTGAGGGGAGAAGGCCCCGGGCCAGTGCTGAGGGGGAGATGGCCCAGGGGGCAGTGCTCAGGTGAGAAGGCCCCAGGGACAGTGCTGATAGGGAGAATGCCCCGGGGGACAGTGCTGAGGGAGAGAATGCCCCCGGCCAGTGCTGAGGTGGAGGACGGCCCTGGGGACAGGTGCAGGCCCCTGGCTGTCAGGTGCAGGAGCTACACTGACCTAATGGATTGCCTGCAGGTGGTGGGGGTGGCCAGGCGCTCTTCATCGACGGGGACCTGAACCGGGGTCGGACGGGGCACTGTGACACTTTCAACAACCAGGCCCTCTGCTCTGAGAACTTCCTCATCGCTGCCATCGAGGTGTGGGGCTTCCAAGACCCCGACATCCAGAACCCAGACCAGTGATGGAGCCCACACTGATGGTGACTAAGCTGCCACTCCGGGGGGGCAGGGGAGAGGGAGCTCACGGAGACCTCCATGTGCCCAGGCAGGGTCGTGGGCAGCATTTCCATGCAGGGCCTCAGCTGGCTCATCCCTGCCTCCCTGAGCCCACCTGCTCCTGTCAGGGCTCATCGGGGTCACTGAACCCCCCCCCCCACATGACCGGTCCTAGGCCCAGGCTTTAGGAAGGCCCCCAGGGGTCTCTTCTGCCCCCGTGCACTCAGTACCTCCCTCCACACAGGGCCCCAGCTACCTTCTACAGAGACATCTGAGCCAAGGCCTGGGTGACTGGGCTCACACTACCTGAACCTGGGCCCTGGTGCGTGTAGCAGGGGCTGGGAGTCAACAGAGGATGCTGCCAGCAAGCATGGGTCCTTGGTGCGCACTACTGGTGCTCCTCAGCACCACCCCCAGTAGGGGCAGGGTGGCCAGGCCCTCCTCAGACTCACATGGACTCACACAGGCCCTCCTCAGACTCACATGGACTCTCACAGGCCCTCCTCAGACTCACATGGACTCACACAGGCCCACCGCAGACTCACGTGGACTCACACAGGCCCACCGCAGACTCACGTGGACTCACACGGGCCCTCCTCAGACTCACGTGGACTCACGGGCCCACCACAGACTCACGTGGACTCACACGGGCCCTCCTCAGACTCACGTGGACTCACACAGGCCCACCGCAGACTCACGTGGACTCACACGGGCCCTCCTCA